TTATTAACTATTAATGGGGAGGGGGCCAAACGATCCTATAAACCACATTATTTATATCAGAATAGTAGTTAAAAATCATTTAATCGTAATATTTTTTTGCTGTACTCATGCGCTCAACACAAGTATTAACCAGTATTTAGGTATACCTTATGCCAAACCACCCGTCGGTGAACTCCGGTTCGCCAAACCTGAAGCCATCAAAACACCACTTAAGGTAAAAAACATTTACATTTATAAATCGTTACAAATTTTAACTTGGTTAATTAATTATTCAATTAATTTAACATAATTGATTTTTAATTCATTAACACCAGGACATCATAGACGGCACTAAAACCACATACGCCTGCATTCAACCCAATTTTCCCTACTTTAAGGACTATATCGGAAATCTGTCCCAAAGTGAGGACTGTTTGGTACTAAACATATGGACACAAAATGCCGGCAATGATAGCACCGGAGGGACAGTAGCCTTAAAACCGGTAATGTTTTGGATGCACGGCGGGGCACTTAGCATAGGTTCTAGTTATCAACGCACACCTTATTATAACTGGTTTAATGGCACAGCACTGGCCTCACATGATGTGGTAGTTGTGACCATAAACTACCGGTTGGGACCCTTTGGGTTCACTTATGGCGGCGACAATACAGCCCCGGGAAATGCGGGCTTTTATGACCAGTTATTGGCACTTAAATGGGTATTAAAATTTTTATTGTTGTTATAAATATTTGAAAAATGTTGACATTTTCAAGTGACTAATCTCAATTTAAGTGATTTTCATAATTTACATGAGAACTGTTATTTATTACATAGTAGTTATATACTTAAAGTTAATGATTGTAAATAAATATTCAGTGGAGAGTATGTTAGCATTTAAATGTTCGCATTTAATTGTTTAGTTTAATATATAAATTGACAAAATTATAATTTTATCAATGCAATTATCACTAATGCAAATTATTTAAAAGATTTGTTAATAATGTCAATGCAAAGCGATAATAACTATAAGATCATTAGTAATGTATTATTTTTATAACAACTTATTTTACGCTAAATAATAGGTGAGAGATAACATACACTCATTTGGTGGAGAAAGGGATCAGATCACTATTTTTGGTCACAGCGCCGGCAGTTGGTCCGTATCGGCCCACTTGTTGTCACCCCTATCTCGGGGTCTCTTCCAGAGGGCTATTATGCAAAGCGGAGCCCTTTTGGGCGATAAAAAGCGTAGTATTGTTACCAAAGCCGAGGCCTTAACGGCCGCCAAACAAATGGCCGCACAATTGAACTGCACTTCAGATGACAACCAATGGTTACAGTGTTTGAGAAGTGTTGACACAAACCTTATCAGAGATGTGACGAAAGAGACCACTTTTACTATAGAAGAAGGCACAGAGTTTTTACCTGAACTGGCTATTAATGCTTTCAATGCACATCATTTTAATCCAGGTAAATAATTATATTATGTTTTATAAAAATAATTTTAAAATAACTATTAAATAACAAAATGTTTAATATATGTTTAATATACAGCTGCACCGAATATTATACTTATATTATTAAAACTAAATTATAATTAACAAAGTTTGAGTATATTTACAGTTTCTAAACTATTATAGAAATGAAATATTAATTTACCACAACATTTGTCATTATACTTTAGACGTGGACTTAATAGCCGGTGTGTCGCGTCGGGACGGTTCAAACCTGGCCGTGAGTACAATACCTCAATTGGCTGGTAATTTAACCAAGGACATATTCAAATTCCTTGTGCTGGGTGTGTCCGAGGCTTTTCACGATATAGACGGACAGGCAGTCGTAGACTACTACCTCAAGGGTGTGGACACCGGGAACTCCGACGCACTTAAAGCGGCATTTTATGACTTTTTTGGTGATGTGTTGATGAAATGTCCGACATATCTATTCGCCCGACAGTACGCCAAACACTCGGCCAACTCGAGGGTCTATTTCTACGAACAGTCGTATCAGAGCCGTAACGCACACCTATGGGGTTGTGTTGGCCCGGCTATGGGTGTCTGTCACGGAGCGGAAGAGGAGTTCGTGTTTGGCGTCCCTCTCGTCTATCCCAACACTTTCACCGCAACTGATGTCGGGTTCGCCCGATATGTGACCAAAATGTGGACAGACTTTGCGAAAACAGGGTATGAAGTGTTGTGTTGTTAGAAAAATATTGTTTAAATTATTTAATTATTTCCAATATAGTGTGCCCGATGCTAAATGGCCTCAAATTACTAGTAATACAAGTGCAAATGCCAGGGCTAAAGATCTTAACCCAATTGACATTGATCGTGTGTTAGATAATTTTTACCATGATAATTGCGATCAGTTTTGGGGCAATTATTTCCAGTAAAATATATGTCTGATACAATCCAAATTCTATGTTTTTTTAACAGATAAGGCATATCTATCGTGATTTTAATAAATTAACAGTTTATTACTTATTATATGTTCTAATTAATTTTTATTATTATTAAAAAACTTAATTAACACTTAAATTAATAATTAATTTTTGCACATGCACATTCTATTATTTAAACCATGAAAATTATTAAAATATAAATTGCGTTATTTTAATAATTAATTTAAAATTAATATAATTTATATCTTAATTTTTTTAAAAACTGTTATTTAATTCATAATATTTGTTTAAATTAAGTTTATTATAATTAACTTTACATAAAACATTTAAAACGGAACAGATTGGGAACGAGGTTTAATTAGAAAAACACATATAAAATTATTTTTTGTAACTTATTATAATTATTGCCGATTATACATTAATATAAATGGGTCTTTTTCATATTACAAATGTGATTTATTATGATTAATAGTGTTAAGGTATATTACAGTTTAAAGATGTAACAATGTATTTTAGAATTTACCAAAATATTTGTTATTTAATGCATAAAAATAATAGTAAGTGTATACACTCGGGGCAATTCAACCGGGCTAATAATGAATCTTTAAATTGACTGGTAATTTAAGTCATTAAATCAATATAAAGTAAATTTACCTTAATTAATAAATTTGCAAACGCATTGATTAAATTCAGACCTATGTAAATTATTTAAAAACAATTGATACAATCATTAAACTATAATAATTTTCATATCTACCATTGACCAATGCCAACAATAATAGTTGGTTTTAATGGGAATAACGTGCAATAAAAATCTCACTTTAATAAATGCAATAAAAATATTAATGGATTATAGTTTTAAGTCTATTAGTAAAAACAAATTAGGAAACACAAAAAAAGGCCACTAAATATTAAAATTATTTTTTCAATATTATTTAAATTACAGCTAATAAAACATATTATGATATAAGAAAACCGGCAAAAATTTTGTTTATTTAAAGATAAACTATTTAGTATAATGCTTTAAAATTATAATCATATTAATGAACTCCATAATTTAACAGAAATTTACTAATTTAAAAATACGTAAATAAAACAATTAAGTATAAATTTTATAACATTTAATTAATAAAAATATTTGACATTGTTAAATATAAGATTTTTGTTAGCATTATTAACTATTAATGGGGAGGGGGCCAAACGATCCTATAAACCACATTATTTATATCAGAATAGTAGTTAAAAATCATTTAATCGTAATATTTTTTTGCTGTACTCATGCGGGGAAATGTGGGAAGCGTTTGAACACTTGAGATGCATAGTTTTAATGAATAGCATGTGCCCCTGCACGTGTGCATTCGCTCTGCACACTCTGTTAGTAAAGTATAAAATAATGTATAAATTAAAATCTTGTTAATGAATTCCATAAATAAAAAGCAATTTTATTAATGTAAAAATAATTATTTATTTTACTGAATATGATTAAATTAAAATTTTAAAAATATTTTTTAATGTTTTAACCTATATTGTTGTTGAAATGTAGAAATTACATACAATTAAGATTAGCATTATCAACTGTTAAGTTGAATAGCATTAAGTTACTATATTAGGAAATACTTGAATATTTAATTTAACAAAACCATTATATTACAACTAAGATTCTATTATTAATTTGTTATAGTTTATTTAATTAAAGAAAAATTTACATATATGAAAAATTATTCACGCTAATAGATAAACAATAATTAAAATTAAAATATAATTGCAAACAATGTCGTTAAAATTAATAATTTTAATTAATGGCAACAATCAAACATTGACTATATTTTAGGTTAATTGTTAAAATTTACAAATCACTATTTAATATTACAAAAACTATTTTACCATTTTAATTTTATAACTATAATTTACAATAATTCAATGTTTAATTGCTTTATACGACTAATTAATTAATATACACTTATTATAGTAAAGTAATATAACATAATATCTATTAATATTATTAATAATATTATTATTTAAACTATAGTTAGTAAACCCGCAAACACATGATTGAATGCTTAACTATGAACTCATTGCCTGACATTACGTTTACGACCGGCGGTCAGGTTTATATATGTTATTTTATGTCAGTACAACATTTTATATTAAATAAATTTTAATTTAGTTTTGGGTTTAAATTATTAAATACTTTTGTTATTTTTAATTGTATTTACTTTTGTATCGACTGTAAATTACCTCATTAAATTTATAATTGTTATTTTATAATTTTAATCAATAGTAAAAATATAATTAACCTTTGATTTAATAATAATATTTATTTATAAAATCACAAAATTTAGAATTTTTATTCCATAACTTGATATTATTTTTAATTATATATTATACAAATAGTGTGATTGCAATAAATATAATAGTAATTTAAAAACAAAAATATAATATAAACCTTTTATGATTAAATAATTTTAATTGTGTATGATGAAAATAAATATAATTCATAGCTCTGGCTCATATACGATAATATTGGACATATTTGCGATTATCCAGGCCGGATTATACTTTGCGCGATATTTTTATTTATTTTATGAAAATATAAATAAATAAGTTGCATCTAATTAATTGTAAATTGTCTCATACATCATTATTTATTACAAAATAATTATTTAATATTTAGCATAATATCCGCAATTAAACTTGCTATTAATACATTTAATGCACATAATTTTAAGTCAGCTAATAATTTATTAATAAACTAAAATAATAAATGTTGGTATGCAATTATTTAAATAACTGTTAATGGTGTATGTTAATTTTAAGTTACAATAATAATACTGTTAAAAGTATACTAATCCTAATTTCTATAATTTAATATCCTTAATAAATAATAGATTAATTAAGACTTTAATAAAATTATTAATATTTAATAAAAATTAAGCTGGTAGGTCTACATTCGCCCAAATATTATAATTGTATGGTGAGAGCTAAATTATAGTTAATTTATTGAACTATATTTACAGTTTTAAAATGTATCACAATTTTTATTCTTAAGGATGTGAATAATTGGCTGATAATTTAACCATGAACATATTCAAATTCCTTGTGCTGGGTGTGTCCGAAGCATTTCACGATATAGACGGACAGGCAGTCATAGACTACTACCTGAAGGGTGTGGACACCGGAAACTCCTATGCATTTAAAGCAGCATTTTATGACTTTTTTGGTGATGTGTTGATGAAGTGTCCGACATATCTATTCGCCCGACAGTACGCCAAACACTCGGCCAACTCGAGGGTCTATTTCTACGAACAGTCGTATCAGAGCCGTAACGCACACCTATGGGGTTGTGTTGGCCCGGCTATGGGTGTCTGTCACGGAGCGGAAGAGGAGTTCGTGTTTGGCGTCCCTCTCGTCTATCCCAACACTTTCACCGCAACTGATGTCGGGTTCGCCCGATATGTGACCAAAATGTGGACAGACTTTGCGAAAACAGGGTATGAAGTGTTGTGTTGTTAGAAAAATATTGTTTAAATTATTTAATTATTTCCAATATAGTGTGCCCGATGCTAAATGGCCTCAAATTACTAGTAATACAAGTGCAAATGCCAGGGCTAAAGATCTTAACCCAATTGACATTGATCGTGTGTTAGATAATTTTTACCATGATAATTGCGATCAGTTTTGGGGCAATTATTTCCAGTAAAATATATGTCTGATACAATCCAAATTCTATGTTTTTTTAACAGATAAGGCATATCTATCGTGATTTTAATAAATTAACAGTTTATTACTTATTATATGTTCTAATTAATTTTTATTATTATTAAAAAACTTAATTAACACTTAAATTAATAATTAATTTTTGCACATGCACATTCTATTATTTAAACCATGAAAATTATTAAAATATAAATTGCGTTATTTTAATAATTAATTTAAAATTAATATAATTTATATCTTAATTTTTTTAAAAACTGTTATTTAATTCATAATATTTGTTTAAATTAAGTTTATTATAATTAACTTTACATAAAACATTTAAAACGGAACAGATTGGGAACGAGGTTTAATTAGAA